GGGGGGGGGGGGGGGGGGGGAAAAATCACACAGAGGCTGCAGAAGCTGCTGCTTCTCCATGCCCTGGGTTGCAGCCTGTTGTGTGCCCTGTGAACTACAGCTGCCACCATGGCACAGGGCACACCATGGCAGTGGCAGCTTTGGCACAGGGCAGCAGGTGCAACCCTGGCTTGGGGAACACAGCTGGAGCTGGCACTGCCATATGCCCTGTGCCAGAGTTGGAAGTGCTGGAGTCAGACCTGCTGCCATGCGACTTGGTCCAGATATGGCCCCCAGGGAGGCTTTTCTAGTCTAGATCTGGCCTGGGGCATGAGGCGAGTTTGACACCCCTGCTATACAAGGGAAGAGCTTTCTCTCAATTTACATAATGGTAACAGGATAAAAAGAAAAAATAATATTTGGGGCATGGGGAGGGAGAAATGGTAAGCTGTTTGCTTTTTTATCACTTCTGTACAATGATAAGTTTTTACTGAGCTGTCTCCAGCAACTCCCAGATCTTCCCCCCCACAAATAACTTTTACAACCAACTAGAACCCAACTGTGTTCCACTGTTTGACCCATGTACCTTGACAATACCATCTAACTGCAGTCTTTCCACATTGAGATAGTAAAAGGTGTAATCAGAAAATCATGCGTCCCACAGAGCATCAGTACATGAAATAAGGACCTATATTCTAGAACTCTGATGCAAGATCATTCTGCTCAGACAGACCAAATTCCTGGGGAATTAAGTTCTTCGCTATAGACTACACAGAGATTGTGCCGAGCACAATGCTTCCATACCAACTATAAAAATAGATTTAGATGACTTTGAATGATTGTGAACTGGTACAACCCTCTACCACCTCCTCTTGCTGGACTCATAGCCACACTTTCACATTCACAGACTGTAGAGTCGGAAGGGACCCCGAAGGATCATCGCATCCGACCCCCTGCCCCGGGCAGGAAAAGGACTGAGGTCAGACGACCCCAGTCAGGTGCCTATCTAGCCTGCTCTTGAAGACCTCCAAGTTAGGTGATAATACCACCTCTCTTGGCAGCCTGCTCCAGATTCTGGCCAGATGTTTTATTCAAAGCCCTTTTCCTCACAGGGACTTCACAGTAAAACAGAAACATGGGCTTTTCCTTAGGCTCAAGTCAAACAGTACCTTCTAAGAATCATTAAATGATAGAAAATTAGGGTTGGAAGGGATCTCAGGAGGTCATCTAGTCCAATCCCCTGCTCAAAGCAGGACCAGCCCCAACCAGATCATCCCAGCCAAAGCTTTGTCTAGCCTGGTCTTAAAAAAAAACTCCAAGGATGGAGATTCCACAACTTCTTTGGGTAACCTGTTCCAGTGCTTCCCTACCCTCCTAGTGAGAAAGTCTCTTCCAGGCTTACGAAAGCAAGCAGACTGCTGACAAATGTAAAAAACAGGCACTTTAAACTAAATGCAGCGTGTCCCTGCACTGAACCCAGCACATGCCCAGAAGTGGCAAGGCGTTAGTTCGACCTGGCTCACCCAATGTCTGTATAGACTGGGCACTTTTGTGGGGCTTTTTTGGCACTTCTATCAAATAGCCACTGAAGCACTCTACCTATACAGATGCTGCAGAGCCAGGTCAAACTAATGGGCTGCATCTTCCAGTAAAGCGCAGTTTTGTTCTGTTTTTTTCATTTCTGTCACCAGCCATAGTGCCTTTCCCCCAAGCTTATAAAACAAACAGTACTTGTTCTCCATGTTTTGAAAGCAACCTGCACCTTTCAACAGGCTGCAAAGACTTTCCAGACTCACTCAACCTCCTTTTGCCCTTTCTCTTGCAGATAGAGCCTTCTTTAGTACTCTAGACTGGGAATCTGCCCAATGACTGGATTCCCTACGCTTGCCCCTAGTGGCACCTTCTTTCTTAAAGGGGCTCTACCCCCGTCACAACTTGATCAGATTTATTTGTCACTGGAATAACATCCAGACAGGAAGTTGTAAAAGGACATCTATCATGCCTTGAATACAAAATCTGATCCAGAACTCAAAATGACAATAGATCTAGATTCCTGGATTACCTGTCCTCTTATAGATACCCACACACACTCAAAAGACCTCTTACTCTTAGAGACTAAAAACCAATGTCCCTAAAGCGAGCTAGAAAGAGGTAATGCAACAAGCATTTTGTGCCTGTCCAGAATGCTGCCCTCAGGGACTGTCACTGATGGATACAGGTATTCTCATCCTTATGTGTTTGGGCTCAAATAAGCATCCACTAAAGTCTCTGGAAGCTTTTCCACTGATTTAAATAAGCTCTTGGATAGGGCTACTTATCAGATTGCCGGGATGAATAACTAAGAGCACAACTATGGGTGGATGAGCAGGGCATGAGCCCCTGGATGCTACTTAAGGGGGGTGGGGAGGGGTGCCAAAGTGTAGCCTGTCCCACCTCCAGCACCTGCCATGCAGTGCTGTTGGCAGCTAAGTGCAGCACTGGGCATGAAACAGGTGAGAAGCAGTTGTGGGGTTGGCGCTGGCCAGAGGCTTGCTCCTAAGGGAAGCTGCTGCTGCTCAACACTTATTTTGGCAGTGGCTACTATATTAAAACAACCAGCACCGATTTGCCTCTGTCCAGGTACGTCTCTATTATTCTTTCAGTCACATAGGTGAAAAGAACAGTCGTATTTAGAGTTCAGCCAATTCAAGCCTAGGCCAGTAGTTCACACCCTCTTTAGACTCAAGGCACTCCTTGTCAGACTCTAGGCACCCTCAAAAACTTTTGTAAATTGAAAGGCACTCCATTTCAAAAACTAAATTATTTATTATAGTGCTTGCCTCCTTACAGAAGGGCTAGGCACTGGGGGCAAAGAAGCAGTCAGGCAGGAAGAGCCTGAGCTGGCCTTTATCTAATCTTCTCACACCTTGCTTGTCTCCTCACATTCCTGGCAGCCTGGTTGAGAATCACTGGCCTAGCCTATCGAAATCTGTGAAGGGGATGGAAAGAATAGTTGCTGACATTCCTGCAGAGATGCTTCTCAGGTACCCATCTTACAGAAAGATGGAGTGCATTGGGAGGAAAGTACTATGCCCTTTCTTTGTCTTTCTAGAATACAGTAGCCTGGTCTTCTTATCCGTTACAGGGCTATTGATAGTCCTCTAAAAAATGTCATCTCAAAATTACCACAGCCATTTTCTCAGTACTCTCTAGCATGCATCCCATCTGATCCTCCCGGCATGAAAATCTGAAGTTACCTCTAAGCTATTCCTCCGCTACTCTAGGCTTCTCATGTCTTCCCCCATCCTTGCTGCCAACTACATTTATTATCCGATAGCTGACTTTATTTGCAAAGACTGAAATAAAGAGAGGCATCAAATACTCAAGCCTTCTTCACATAATCCTTTGCACTCAGCAAGAGACCTACTTTCCTTGGTCATCTTACTTCTTACATACTTGTAGAATAATTTTTATTGCCTTTTGCATTCCTTGCTAGATGCATCTTAAATCACTCCTTGGCCTTCCTAATTTTCTCCCTGTCTGCCCTTGTGAAACTCATTCTTCCCTAGTAACATGGCCAAATTTCCACTTTGAGTTGGTTCAACCAGCCTCACTCCCCTGCTTTGAGTAACCAGGGTAGCCACCAGTCCCACATACAACATAAAGAGACTGATTCCCTAAAAGTAGGAAAACCAAAAAAAGAAAGAACAAAGTCTATGCTGAGAGTCCTGATACATTCATATGGAAGATGCTAGTTATTAAAATCAGAGTTAGATTTAGTAGTGCAGAAGAGGAGGCAGCAAGATCTGTTCTCCCAGGGAAGAGAGAAAGCCAACAGTGACAACCTCCACTGAAATCTGTTCCTTGGAAATTGCAGACTATTTCATTTGTTTTTCAAAGGACTAGTGGGGAACACTTGAAGCAAAGAATTCACCTGCCGAGTTCATGCAAGAGAAAAAAAAAAAAAGACAGACAGATCACAGTGCGGCTGAAGAGATGGATCAGAAACCCATGAAAACTCTTACAAACTATAAATCAGAGGAAATGACTAGTGATACCCTTGGGAGACAACGGTTCTCCTGACACGGCATGGCATACCCTCATGTTGGAACCAAAGGTTCAGAACTTTGATTAAGTTACCATATCATATCTGTAAGTCAGGGACAGACTGGAGAATGGAGATCTGTTGAGAGACACCTCTCTGATCAACCATCAGGAATTTGCCACATCTTATTTTCTCATTGTATATTATTTTGTGAAATGAAGTGTAACTAGCCCTTAATTTTGTTGTTATAAGAAAAATGATACAAAGCTAAGATTTTATGTTAACTGCCTTCTAATTCAGTCATTTATTTAACACTAAGAATATACAGTATATATGTTTTTGTTACTCACATGAAGATATTTACTGCTGAGACAATGTAACATTTTTCCAGGTGAAAGTGAGAATGACAGTGCAGGTTTTGGACAGAATCTTATTTCTAACCTACCTGAATCTTTGTGCTTGGTGATGAACTGGCCCTCCAAATCGTCTAGCTGATGAATGATATAGTTGTGATAACAGTGCCACGTTTTTGTTCTGGTTAGGATTGGCTGCAAACTTCACTGTAATGGGTTCAGAAGAACCCGGGGGTTTGTGACCATTGAAATTTGTAATTGCCTCTTCTGCTTCTGACCTTTTGTCAAACCGGATAAATGCAACCCCTCTGGACAAACCTTTTAACCAAATCAATGAAAGAAAAAAGAAAGAGGAAAAAAGGCAGCTCAGGATTAACTCAGAATAATTTCAAAAGTGAAAGCCTCCAAAATAAGTATCATTTCTAAGTTTCATTGTTTTATTGATGGCTCTTTCAACAGCTAAAAATAATTTTTATTTATTTGCATGTATTAACACATTTATTTCAACCATATAGTGAACCTACCAATGAAAACACAGCTTAGAATCTGAGGTCAAAATTATGCAGCGAGAGCGTGTTACGGAAATGCAGTATTAAACCAATGTTTTTATTAAATTTCCTCAAACAAAAAAATTGATGGCAACTCCACTGTGTTAAAAATAATGCTGGGGGGGGGGGCCTTCTTTGTGTTTTCTTTGCTTAATTATGTTATTCAAAGCAGATC